TATATATATACTTCACTTTAATTTTTAATGGCTATACTAATGTACACATTAAAATCACTTGCTATAAAAATAATCTTGCGTCATCGAGGTCACGTGACTGGTGTGGCGCCACCTAATTTCTAGAACTATCCTGTACCCTGGCGAATGCTCTAGTATTTACTAGATATAGGGTAGTATGGTACATAAAAGAGGGTGACAACGTGAATGTGTGTGTGTAGGTAATGAGTAATTGAACTGCAGTCAGAGAGAGACGTATTGTTGAAGTTAACGTTCGTTGTTATAGTGTTTGTTTTAGCGCGATTGTTGAAATTAAGTGTATCGTAAAGTTATATTCGGAAAGAATAAACCAGTTGTATTAAGTAAGGACTTGTGTCGCTAAAGTTTCGTCGAAACGAAGTTACGGAAAGTTAATAACCAAACGGAGACGTAACAATAGCAAGATACAATTATTCATTGGACAGAAGTCAAAATTAAATTTTCATAATACTTTTCTAGGCGTCACATAATTATATTTGTTTAAAATTGTTGTGAATAGATTATACTAGGAGCGTTTTATGTAGAAGCCTTACGGACAACCTATATTTATATTCTTAAAGTTCACCTAAACGTTTTGAAACAACAATAAAATTATGCACATAAGTATGTCAGGGGCATAGGCAGAAATTTATAAAGGCTGAGTATTATTTTGGAGACAGAAGTGAGTGACAAAGCTATACAAGGGGTTTAGAACCATGTTTCTTCGTAAAAAGTTTGTAATTTTCACTGAAAATGGCGCACTTTCATTCTTCCTGGGACTGTTTTTACATGTATGTATGCAACTTAGAGAAAAGTGGTTAGGTTCCCTTTGCCCTAAACAGATCTCTTCCCTGATGCCTAAGAGTGTGGCTAAAAAGGATCTGGACCATTTCCTGAAGTTTCAAGTAAATCACTCCTTGTAATGACTGGCCTCAGGAGCAAGTGATGCAACATTTGATCTTGAATTTGGATGGTCTAGTGTTGGACTCAACTGAGCACTTGAATAAGGTACAACTCTAGCATTTGGATACACTCATAGCTGAGAACAGAACTATCCATCCAACCTAGCTGTTGGATATACAAGACTGTTTAGTGTAAGAGTTATTATTTAGTTCATTTAGTGATCTAACATTTGATGATTATTTAGTTTTCATAACAAGAGTGTTAAAAGTTAATTATTTTAAAAGCGATAGTTATGACATATTTCATTACAAAATATAATCTGTGACGTAGAGGCTTAATAAATTTTTTAATTCGCCGCACCCTCTGCTGTGGTCTACAGTTTCTCCCATTCATGAGTGAGAAAACCAAAGAAATACAATTAGGCCTCTTATAATGGCGATGTGTATATAATATTGATGAAGCTTGAGTCCTTTTTAACTCACCATTTAATAACCTAGCTATGTGAATAATATTATGGCACCGATTATTCGTTTCTTTTTTAATCTCATTTAATTGCAATTGTTATATGAATCAAACTATGTTTAAAGGGTTCTCAAAAATTACTATATATATATATGTAACAACACAACAAAGTATATATTCTATCACTTTTAATAAATTGTTATAAATAAAATTACAGAACACGCTGTTTCTTATTTAAATATACGTTAATTGTTATGTACTGTTATTTTTAGCCTGACAATTGTCGCAGGAGAACAATCTAAAAGTTGCTGTAATAAAGTTTTTCTGTCAGTGTCTTGGGTTGTCTTACTTATTTAAAACCTAATTTCTACTGACTGTGAAAAATAAATTTGTGAACTGTACAACTTATGAAAAGTTAGTAACTAAAAATATTGTTATAATCTATATTTTTAATGTTGTAAGTTAGATGTTAGCTAGAGGGAACATGACGTCAAAACCGAAAAGTTTATAAAATTAGGTGCAGAATGTTCTAAGTGTGACGTCAAGAGACTTGTAAGTTCGTGAACTATCGAAAGACGAGAGTAGTTTATAAACACGGAAATCAGTAAAGCCTTGAGACAGGGTTTTGCTCTCAATTATTAGTGGATAATGAATGGGTATAGGTCCAGTGAAGTACTTGAATAAGTGTTAGTTATCGCGTATATTAAGTTACACAATAGATAAGCTTGAAATTGTACGAACAAGTTTACGCAATACTGTAAAATTGAAATAATAATAATGAAATCAGAGTATTATTCAAAAGTAGTTGTTATTTTTAATTTAGTAACAGGGACATCTTCTCGTAACAAATTTCAAACTATTTTTAGAAAAAGCATGGTAACAGAAGATTCATTCTACTCATCAAAGTCATCCCATCCATAAAACTTCTCGACATAGTCTTTAGTTTATTATATGATGAAAAACTAAATTTCCAAATACAGTTTTAAGATTATTTTGAAAACGAAACAAAATAGATACATTTGTGTACAATTGTAAATATTTTCAATATCGGGCGGCCTCTATATTTGGGATGATTTATTACTATTGATAAGTCTTAAGGTTTTTGTGAGTTGTGAGTGAAACTCAAAGGTTGTGAGTTAATAATAATTTTTGATTGAGTTTTAATTTAAGAAATGGCTAATTTTCAGTTATCTATTGTTTTGATGAATTTATTATTTACTACATAGTGTTGTATCCATTGTACATCTACATATCTTCTATAGTTTAGTCTTACTCTTCGAAAAAGGGAAATGTTTTGAAGAATTTATCAAACTGGAAATGTGGAATTGGAGTTGAAACTTGAAGTTGAACCTGACTTGGACTGAAACGAAAGTGAAAAATCAATAAAACTGAAAATCAGAAAAGTAAGACAAGAGATCTACGCCTAGCAATACTTTGTTAAGCCTATCGAGACAACGGTTATGAAATTGAACATATTACTTTATTAGTATTGTCATTTGTCAGGCTTAAACTAAAGTTAAAGTCAAACAGATTCCACCATGTTGTACTTTCTAATTACTAACACTAACCCCGAGCTACAATTGAGAAAATTAAAATTTCTGCACTACATAACAAACCTGACTTCAAAGTTAAATTTAAAATTAAAGAATGCGACTATGTAGTGGGTTCTCTAGCTTAGGTTTTTAAAATGTTATTTATAATTATATGATAAACTGAGTATTACATGTGCACTGTAAATGTGACAGATTATCAATATAACTGGAGATTATTGTATAATGTATTCAAATAATATTAATATAATGAATCAAATGCCAATTTCACCTCACAGTCTTATTTTTATCTATATTCTGCACTTACGAATGTTAACTGCCCCCTCCAGAAAATAATAGGTTACATAAAATAAAGCAGATTGTGGAATTATAAATAAGTACAAATTAAGTTTTAATAATAAAAATTTCAAAGTACAGTAACTGTTAAGTGTTACAGTTGGCCTACAGTTTAAATGTGGTTACAAGTTACGTAAGCAATCATTTAATAATGACCCATGTTGCTTAATACAAGTTAAAGTTCTTTGAACATTTTACACTAGAAGTATTCATTTATCTCACAATCAGGGGAATACTTCAAGAGTTTATAATTCTAACAGAGAATAGGATTTTTACCTGAGAACTTGTTGATACTTATGCTTACATGATTTAAATTATCACACCTAGAACCTGCAATGAATGCTTTGTCCAAGCATTTCTTAGCACCAGTATGAAATATTTTTCAGGTTTTAACTAAGTATCATGCTAGTTACGCTTTCTTTCATGTTGATATTCTTTCTGAATGTACGTAGATAGATACGTGAGTAAGGAGGATTAAATATTATTTGGTTTTAAAGATAAGTTGTTGCAGTAGGTAATGGGTGTTCTTGATCGGCCATATTACCATCTGTCATTTGCCTTATTCTTATTTTGAGTTATTCTCTAAAGCAAAGGCCCCTAAATTAAAAAGAATATTGAAAGAGTCCCCATCAGAATAGTATGTAAGACAGTAATAGCCTCGTTTCAAGATTTAAGCTCTCTTTTTTTTTTTTTTTT